TTCATTCAATGTCACAATTTGTTAGTGATATAGTATTTTATTTGCAATCTTTTGCTGCTGCTTGTCCTCTAAGTTATCATTAAATAGAGGCAGTGGAGCTAACTCCTCAGTGAGAGAACAGTACAAGTTTTATAGGATACAACAACTTTGCCATCCACCTGGCATTGTGCAAAGCGCCTGGTTTAATAAACCCAGAGAGTAGCACATTTTGCCCGTTGCTTAGATACAACAATGTTAGTTGAACAAGTTCTCTATAATCACCTCTGTTTAAATTTTGCCTCATTGCTTTTTGGCAAAGATTGGTAATGGCCTCTTTTTTTGTTTATCAAGGACTGTAAAATTTGAAGGATGTCAAGGTCTTTAATAGTTTCACAACTCAGATGTTCAATATTTTTCTTAAATCTAAAAACCAAACAAAGCAGTCATTAAATAATAACTAATAATAAAACATTTGACTAAATATGTAGATTACCTTAAAAATAGATTGATATTAGGACCTTTTGAAACTTTTATCTCCAAACTGTTCCATACATGAGTTAGTATAATTTCTCCTATGTGATGTTGGAAAGCAAGCCACAGAAATGGCCTGTTCAATATATTTTGCATTGCAATATAGCCCCAGTATTTGATGCTGTCGTGTCAAACACCATGCCTGCCACAAAATCTGTGCAGTTCCAATCTTCTAGTAATTCATATGTTGCCTTGGCAATCACTGGTCCCATCTTCTCTGTGGACTTATATGGCAGCGCTGGTACACCCAGTAATTTTACACCTGAACAACCTAAAAATATATATTATCTATATCTATATATATATATATATCTATATCTCTATCTGTCTACCTATCTCTCTCTCTCTCTCTCTTTCTTTATATATATATATATATATATATATATATATATATATATATATATATATATATATATATATATATATATATATATATATATATATATATATATATATATATATATATATATATATATATATATATGTATATATGTATATGTACCTATATGCTGTTGTGTAGCTCAAGTCAACTCTAGAAAAATCACCAGAGGTGGCACAAATTATTGAGTGGAATAAAGAACTAAGTGTAGTAGGTGTAATCTTGTTCCTTACAGCTGTGTCAATAACTTTAAGTGATTTCAGAATATTATGTGGTATAAACACAGTTGTGCCAGTTTTCAAGATTCTTTTGTGAGAACACTGCTTAGTTTCAATAAAACATCCAAGTTCATCATGATCAAGACAACCTTTGCCCACCTCCATTAAATTGTTCTTACAATATCTAAAGATATTTGATTGTCGCTCTTTTTCTTTATGGATTCTTTCTTTTTCAGCAAATTTTCTGTCATGAAATTTTTTTTCCACAAGGCTACGTTTAATATCAAATGAGCCCATGGATGCTTTCCTATCAGTAATCATGCTGATAAGAAGCTGTTTATCCTCTGTATCAACCAATTTATCTAGCACACCTCTTGGCTAG